CATTTCGAACCCCAATTGCCGCCACCGCGTCCACCCCCCCATCCACAGCGTTCCCATCACCCAAATCAGCTTCCCGCACTCCCCATCACTGTCCCCATCCTCTCGTCCATCATCAGCGGATCGAGAGCTTCACCGTCCACCACCGTCCCCATCCAATCAGCCCCGTACCTTTTCCACACGCCCGGTGGCCATGACACCGCATTCACTCCCCGGTTTCCCAAGCTGTCCCTACCCATCTATGAAGGTACCGAGGATCCTCTCGGCTGGCTGACGACCTGCGAACAATTCTTCCATGGATATCAAACTCGGCCGTCAGATCGTGTCTGGTTTGCGTCTTACCACCTCAAGGGGACAGCCAGGCAGTGGTACCTGGACTTGGAACGTGATTCGGGACGCCCGGAGTGGGAGCCGTTCAAACACCTCTGTCGCCAGCCAGTTCGGCCCTCCTTCAAGACCAACCACCTTGCCGAGCTGGCGCGCCTCCCCTTCACCTCCACGGTGGAGGCCTACGCGGAGCTGTTCCAGGCCCGGGCAGCGCACGCTGGTGCTCTCACACCGCTGCAGAAAGCGCAGCTGTTCACCGGTGGCCTCCCAGACCACATCCGCGCTGATGTCGAACTCCAAGAGCCCCAAGATCTCCGGTATGTGGCAGGCGTCTCGTGACGCGCATATGAGCGGGCGCAACTCGTCGACCCTTCGCTGCTCTCCGGCGCCCTACGCGCTGCCGCGGCCGGTTTGCGGGCAATCCGACCGCGTCGGCTCCGACTCCGTAATCAGCTTCAGCGTCATCGTCTTCGCCCCTCCAACCGCCTCGCACCTTCAAACGCTTGTCCCCGGAGGCCATGGCGGAGCGGCGCAAGCAAGGGCTCTGCTATAACTGTGATGAGCCTTATGTTCGCGGCCATAAGTGCGCCCGCCTATTCTACCTTGAAGTTGCAGACTTCATTGAGGAGGAGCCGGCTGAAGATGATCCGGCTGCTCCGGCCATCCAGGACCAGGGGCATCCTCCGTTCGATCCGGATGCCCCTCTGATCTCCCCTCGTCGCGATCACGCATACGACGGCGGCGAACCACGATGCATTGCGTGTCCAAGTTGGCGACCACGAGCTCACAACATTACTCGACTCCGGTTCCACGCACAACTTCGTCAGCATGAACGCTGCGCGCCGCGTCGGGCTCCACTTCCACGACAGCGGGGGCGCTCACGTAGTGGTTGCCAATGGCGACCGCGTGGCTTGCCGTGGCCTGGCGCGCGACGTCGCCATCAAGATCGGCGAGGAGTTCTTCTCAGTGGATTGCTTTGCCATTCCGCTGGACAGCTATGACATGGTCCTCGGGATCACGTGGCTTCGCACCCTTGGACCCATACTCTGGGACTTCGATGACCTTTGCATGGCGTTCACTCACCAGGGGCGCCGCGTCCTGTGGAAAGGCATTGGGTCGACGCGCTCTGACATTCCTCCGACAGTAAAATACGTGACGCCGTCGGCTCTTCCCGACCAAGGGGCCGGAGCCCATCTTCTTTGGAGCGTCTCGCCGATTCTTATGAGATGTGTTCGCAGCCCGATCGGTCTCCTCTCCGCCGACCTTGTGACCACCGCATCCATCTCAAGCCGTTTGTTGATCCTGTTCTTCGTTCGCCCTACCGTTACCCAGCTTTCGTAAAGATGAGTTGAGAAGCAATGTGATGAGATGCTTGGCGAGGGACCATCAGGACAAGACATCCCCGTTCTCGACTGACCGATCCGCTTGTCAAGAAGCATGGCGGCTCACCGGAGACTCTGTGTTGATTACCGCGCATACGAACATAACGACGATTAAGGATAAGTTCCCTATACCCGTGGTGGAGGAGCTGCTGGACGAGCTGCATGGGTCCAAATTCTTCTCGAAGCTCGACCTACGCTCCGGTTATCACCAGGTGCGGGTGCACCCCGCTGATGTTGCCAAGACGGCATTCCGCACGCATCAGGGCCATTTCGAGTTCCTAGTCATGCCCTTTGGGTTGTCAAATGCGCCATCAACATTCCAAGCCCTCATGAATTTCGTTCTCAAGCCGTTCCTCCGTCGCTGTGTACTGGTGTTCTTTGATGATATCCTGATTTACAGCGCCACATGGACGGAGCACCTACAGCATCTGCGCGCCGTCCTCGACATCCTTCGTGAGCACCAGCTACATCTGAAGCGTTCCAAATGCTCCTTCGCTGCTGCATCAGTACACTACCTGGGGCATGTCATATCACCGGATGGCGTGGCCATGGACGCTTCCAAGGTTGCAGCAGTCCAGTCCTGGCCGCAGCCGCGGTCAGCCCGTGGCCTGCGAGGGTTTCTCGGTCTAGCGGGCTACTACCGACGCTTCGTCAAAGACTACGGCATCCTCGCTGCGCCACTCACCAGCCTGCTGCGCAAGGAAGGCTTCATTTGGTCCGGACCTTGCTGCCAAGGCCTTCTCGGCGCTCAAGGAGGCCCTGTCATCCTCCGGCCGGTGCTTCACTTGCCGGATTTCAGCGGCGAATTCACGGTCGATTGTGATGCGTCGGGCTCGGGTTCGGTGCAATCTCGCACCAAAGGCGCCGCCCTATTGCGTTCTTCTTCACCGCCCCTTCGCATTTCGCCATCTCAAAGTGGCATGCTGCTCTGACGAACGCGAAGTGATCGGACTCGTCCAGACGGTGCGGCATTGGCGCCCGTACCTATGGGGCCGTGCTTTCGCCGTCGTCGCACAGATCATTATGCCTCAAGTTCATGCTCGACCAACGGCTGTCCACGATCCCGCAACACCAATGGATAAGTAAGCTGTTCGGATATGACTTCCGCGTCGAGTACCGCCCGGGACGGTTCAACGTGGTCGCCGACGCCCTGTCACGACACGATGGTGATGCTCCGCTGCTGGCTGCGCTTCCGGCTCCAGCTCCAGCCCTCGCCATGGTGTCGGTGCCCACCTTCCATCTCTTCGATGTTCTTCGCCAAGAGCTGGAGTCGTCGCGAGAGCTCCGTGACCGCCGGACGCTTGATCGCGGTGGCGCCTGAGACGCCGATTGGTGCGTTAGGACGGCCTCCTCATCCACAAAGGGCCGTGTCTTCGTTCCCTCGGCCTCTGCGCATCCGGAGGACGTCTTTGCAGCGAAGAGCCCATACAGCGCCCATGAGGGCATCCGAGAAGACGTTGCGGCGACTCGAATCGAAGTTCTTCATCGAAAGCACGACCGCCGTGTCATTCGGGATTTCGTCTCCACCATGTCGCTCGCCAACAAGAACAAAAGCAGAGACCTTGCACCCGGGCTGGGCTACTCCGGCCACCGCTGCCGGTGCCGTCTCGTGTTTGGGCGGACATAGCCATTGATTTCATCGAGGCTCTTCCCAAGGTACACGGCAAGAGTGTTATTCTAACCGTGGTTGACAGGTTCTCCAAGTACGCCCATTTCATTCATTTGGGGCACCGTGACACCATGACGTCCGTCGCCGCGCTTTCTTCCACGACATCGTCACCGCACGGGGTTCCCGGATTCCATCGTGAGCGATCGCGACCCCGTGTTCACCGGCCAAGTTTGGCGGGATCTGTTTCGCCAGGCGGGCGTCCAGCTGCGCATGAGTACTGCCTTCCACCCCCAGACGGATGGGCAGTCCGAGGCGGTGAACAAGACCATCGCCATGTATCTGAGGTGTCTTCTTTGGAGATCGGCCTGAGGATTGGATGGGCTTGCCGTGGGCGGAGTTTTGCTACAACACCGCCTACCACTCAGCTCTCCGCACATCGCCGTTCGTCGTGGTGTATGGCGCGCCCCTCGTAGGCTCTTGCCAGATGCTCTGGTCGCGCCCAAACAGATGTCGTGGACTCTATCCTCTCCGACCGCTGATGAGTTTATTGCCGAGGTTCGTGCTCAACCTCGCAGCCCGTGGAGCATGCCCTTAAGTACTACGACGCCAATCATCGCCGGTGGAGTTCCAAGTGGGGACTGGGTGTGGCTACGTCTTCTTAACCGCCCTACAGTCCCTCGCTCGGCAAAGCGGAAAGCTTGCTCCCAAGTACGCTGGGCCGTACCAAGTGCTGGAGCGCGTGGGGGAAGTGGCATACCGGCTCCAACTTCCGCAAAGGCGCGCGCATTCATGATGTCTTCCATGTTGGCGTGCTCAAGCCTTTCGAGGGACTCTCCGTCGACGGTGCCATCATTGCCTCCTCTTCGCACGGCCGTCCCTCCGCTTCGGCCCGATCGTGTGCTCCGTTCCGGTCTTGGTAGCGGAGCACTGCACGTGTTAGTCCGGTGGGCTGATATGCCGACTTGAAGCAACATGGGAACCATTGATGATTTCGCGCAGCTCATCCGTCATCATTTCAGCTCGAGGACGAGCTCTTTTCAAGGAAGGAGAGATGTTATGGTCGGTAGGACCTATGAGAGGAGGAGTCGTAATAGTGGCTAAGTTCAGGGAATCATTAGATATTTGCGTGAGTTTAAGGAGGAGAATTAGGAGAGATTGGTTATGGATTGTAATCTGGCCTATAAGGCTCTAAACCGTGAGATGAAGGGGATTAGCACGGGATTGAGATTCATTCTCCCCTGGCCCCTCAGGCGCACTGTTCATCGTCATCTCGTGTCACCTCGCCTCCAAACCCCGGGGCTGCAAGAGACGGGCGCCATCCGCCGCCGTCCTACCAAACCACGGCTCACCTTCTCCCCTCCATACTTTCTCCGCAGCAAGGCGCGCCGTAACAGAAAGCTATATCGAAAATATGCTCAAACAGTAGGAAGATACAAGAGAAGATTTGGTGTCACAATAGGTCCCCAAATCTCCCAGATAATAGATGGCATGTTTGAGACAACCAAAAAAAAACATTAGTTACTCAAACATAAAGGAAGACATACATTCAGTCAGATTGGACTTCTGTTGATTAAACATGTATCACTCTTTCATTTACTCAACTTAAGAAGATGAAGGCAAATTTAGTTTCTCTGCACTTATTTTACTTGAAAAGTTAAGGCAAGATCAGTTTCTCTGCATGTAATTTAAGCAATCCATGGCATTGAAAACTCACCAGAATGCTGTGCAGATAATGACTTGGCCAAGTTCTGGAGTCCTGTTATATCATTGATCTTGTCCTTCTCCTCGATGGCATTAGCAGAGTCCAAGTGCCCTGGGTGGCTTGGATGAATGTGCCCAAGAGCATTTGCAAAAGCCTGAATTAGTTACAATAAAATGTAAGCCAATGTCATTCTCCACAGTACTCTATTAATTTGTGCTCAGATGTACAACCATAAACATTAGTGCATTAGTAGCAATATACAGTACAGTCATCAAGCAACCTTCATCGCTTACCTCAGACAGAGCAAAAAAATGGTACTTGTCCATTTGAATGACAAAAATCCTTCACCCATTAGAGAAAATATGAATTTGAAGTAGTATTTACTGATAGAGTTTTTTTTTCCCGAAAGGACTGATAGAGTTATTTCAACAATTATTTCTGAAATGATTGAGACTTAGTTTTCCCCTTAGTATTAATTATATCATACCAGCAGTTTGATTATCAGAGTGGCATAAAAAACTTACACAGGAGCATTAAACTCTCGAGCACATGGAATTGCCTAAAACTAGTAATCAAAGAGAGATAATAATGTAAAGCAGGCAAGCAGGTAAGAGAGGAAGGCTTCGATACATTTGTTAGATCTTCAGGTTAAACAAACTACAGTAAGCTTGCTTCAAACTTCCAGAACTATCGGATTGTGCTCTTCACACCATTGAACCTAATAGCTTAGTGCGAACATGCCAATAAAAAAGAACAGTAAAGGGCCATTTCCTACAACAAAGGTTGTAGCTCAATAAACTCAATAAAACTACCTTGGAGGCAATGGTGTAGAAGCCATTATCAAGAGAGTCCTTTGCGAAAGTTAACCACTCCTGACGGGACACTTGCAAGTGAAGATCGTTGCAGTATTTAGCGTCTCGAAGCAACAGGGCCTCGTATCTCATGGCAAGGCAGCTCTGTCAGTGTACATGAGGAGTAACAGTATTAGCAGAGAAAAACGCAGCGCATGCTCTGGGTTTCTGCAAACATTCAAGTCTGAGTAAAACAAATGACTAACGCACGTTGGTTGATGAATTTGAGTGTTGCTTGCTAGTGTGTATGAAACATGCTGCAAACATCTAAAATAAAATGCTGCAAGCCTGCAATTAGGAACGTATACTGAACTGAAGCACGACAACCGCGGGGGCCTAAAATCAGAGTAAAACCCCAGGTAATGCGCACGGACTAGCGATAGCAGTGCATAATAATCTGCACACCGTATGCGCCAACAACTAATTTGGCTGGTGCTGACCTCGACATCGCCTACGAGCGCGAAGGCGCGTGAAAAGAAGTCAGCGACGGCGAGGCTGGTCCCACCATCCATCACTGAACCCGTCGCGGTGAACGCGAATGCCTCCGCCGCGCTTGCTTGAAGCAGACTCCGGGCCGCCGAGCGCGTGGCGAGCAGCGCGGGGACGTCAGCGCCGGCGGACAGCAGCACCCGGAGGTCCTCGTCCCCGAACCTGCAGCGCACTCGCACCGAGTCAGGGGCGGCGGGAGGGAGGTCGAAAGGTGAGCGAAAAGGTCGCAGAGGTCGCGCGGTTGGGTGCGGCAGGTGGGTTGGGGCAGACGCGCGGCCGCGGCGTAGTACCTGCGACAGGAGAGGCGGGAGGCGAAGAGAGCGAGCGCGGAGGGCGTCGCTGCGTTTCCATCCTGCTCCGCCATCGCCGGCGGCATCGTCCCGTTTTTTTGATTTGGTTTTATTTCGAAATGAAAAACGCTCGCCGTCGCCGGAGATGGATGGCACGAGAATGAGGAATTTTTTGTGGTGGGCGTGGGCTCTGAGCTTGTTGAACTAAAAATGGGCCGGGTCGGGCCATCAACGGGAATGGTAGAGGCACGGGCACTGGCAGGCTGGGGAGTGGGGAGGGACCATCATTGTAGTTGTTGTAGCTGTTTCTCCGCCTAGTGAAGATCAACATGGACACAGCAATATCCAAGAACACAAGGACGGCATCGACTGCAGCTGTGGCCTGGGACGAGAGGACGAGATGGGCAATTTTCTGGGAGTCTCGGCCCTTGTTCTAAAAGGCATAGACGAAGCAGTAGAGGTGGCCGAAGCAATAGCATGCCGAGAAGAGTTATCGCTTCCTAGTGATCTTGGGTTGCAGTCCAATGAGATTTTGGCAAGTGACTATGCAAACGCTGTGAGAAGTATCCAAGGTGAGGCTTTGGGAGATTAGGAACAATCATCCTGGAGATCAAGGGCCTGATTGATTGGCTACCAATTTTTGTCCTACTAAAATCATGGCAAGCCAAAACTTAAGCTTGCCAAAGTTAGGAAAAAAAACATAGGTGTGTATTTGTTTGACTGTCATAACAATAATAGGAAGCACCTTTTCTCTTTTACATAGTTTAATAACTTTCTAGAGACTTGCCAAAACTTTGGTCATAAACATCAGTGCGCCAATTCTTTGGCAACGAACCAATTGATGACTAAAAATTTTGGCATGTCATGGTTTTGGTTGGATAAGAATTAGAAGCCAACCAATCAGACCCGAAGTCAAGAAGAGATTTTTTTTTTGAAATATCATGGGGGGATTGTCCTCCACCTGAATTTTATTTCAGAACTTGGAGGTACAGGTTACATTTGTTCTGCCACAAAACGTTGTGGCGGAGGGAGTGATGATGATGCCGCAGCTCTCAGCCCCGTGGCAGCCCCGGCCTCCAAGCGCAGCCTCATGTCCTCGCTCATGGACGCCACCGCGCTGCTCCGCTCCCCCTCCTTCAAGGAGGACTCGTACGTCGCCGCCGCGCTCCCGTCGTCTGAGCTCAGTGCGCTCGCCGACCTCAAGGTGCTGCTCGCCACCCACCCAGACCCCATTTCCATTTGGGGCGTCCCACTGAACCCCCACTCTCCTCCCGCCGTGGCGGACGACGCTGCCCCCGCCCCGGCCGACGAGCGCGCCGACGTGGTGCTCCTCAAGTTCCTCCGCACGCGGGACTTCCGCGTCCGCGATGCGCACGCCATGCTGCGCCGCCTGGCGCGCCGAGTTCGGCGCCAACGCCGTGCTGGACGGGCACCTGGGCTTCAAGAAGAGAAAGTTTTAGCAAGGTGAAGTTTGCTCATGAAGGAATACAGTTCAATCATGAAGCTCATTTGTTAGCTATGAGTTCAGTTAGCTTATCCTTTGGTCCAGAGCGCGCGTGAGGTCTCCACACGCACTGCCTAGTCCGCTTGTGCTACCGCTGGGTGCAGGGTGCTGGTACACTGGTCGTGCATGCATGTGAGTACTCCTCTGCTTTGGCAGCCTCCACTTTTTGATTTCCCTTGGAATTTTGTGTGCGCTTTCGCTACCAAGAATCTCCCTCATCTTATCTCCTTGTCCTAGCTCGGTCACTCTTTCTTGCAATCTCTCTTGCTCGGTCGTAGATGGAGGATATGCTGTTTGGGTCATCATCAGGCGTGTGCCCGCCACACGACTTTTTTTTTTTACGTCATGTTTGTTGAAATAAAGGTGCTACAACTACAAGTCTCATCGTTATCCTTTGGATCAGATGGAGCTTAAGCTTTGCCTGATCTAAATAATTCGGTTTATAATCAAGCTTACCGCCTATTTTGAACTATCTGACAAACCACACACCGATATAGACCTTGTATTGTAAAGAAAAGCTACGATCTAACTCTCCTTAGATTCAGGTTGGGAGGAAGACCTACTGTGTTATGCAATTTAAAGGAAATACAGTGCAATTTCAGAGGTCTGTCATGTGCTTTGATCAGGGGCAAGGATAGACCTGTAGCAAGCATCAAGATTGACTAAAGGAAACCCCCGGTGTGCAGCGGAAAGATTAAAAGGAAAGGCACCCCAGGCCATTTTTTTTTCTCCATCACGCAAAAGTTTTACGCGTCTTTGTATTAAGATAGAGAAAAATTTTAATACAACACGCCTTAGCGGCGCCCTAAGGGATCACAAGAGTTGCACATGGACGCTCAGACCCACCCTAGTATACTGAAATCTACGTTGTATTGCCACATTGTGCAACTCTTTAATTAGCTGGCCAAATTGACAAGTGCATCATCAATCTTTTTTTTTTACTAAAAAATGATTCCTTTCCGGTCCTCTGACAAACGAGTTTTGCGAAACAACCAAATTGTTACACGCCGATGCTCAATTCGCAAATGAGATAGGCATCCTGCATAGTTGCGTTGTAATTGAGAAGACACATCCAAATGAAAACCAACAGCCGTGGTGAAAACAGAGTATTGAACCAACACGTGGAATCTGAAAAACAAAATTACTTGCAGTTCCAGTATATGCATACAGAGAAAACATCCATCGATGTGAGGAAGTTAAAGATAAAAACATGAAAATGAGGAAGTCAAAGATAAAAACCTCATTTGTAGGAACTTCTTGTTTTAATCTCTGCACAATTTGGTTTTGAGTCTAAATTACTTTAACTTTTAAGATATGAGGGGAAAAAGATAAGGGTGTGTCTCCTGCACAGGTGATTGATAGCAAAACATCAGTCATCTTCAACCTCGCGCCCCACCCCCACCTGCCTCGTTGGTGGCCTCGCCTTCTTCCTCCTCCTCGCGTCCTACCCGCTCCTTCTTCCTCCTCACGCCCACCCCCGCTTGCCTCCTCGTCCTCACCCCCACCGCGTCGGGCTAGGGTTTCACCGAAGCTCCGCGGCTCCACTGCCCCACCGCGGCGGGCTAGGGTTTCGCAGGAGCTCGGCGGCTGCAGAGCTCGGGCGAAACCCTAGCGCGCCCGCGGTGGCCGCCTTCTTCCCCTTCCACCCTCCTTCCACGGCGAGCTCAGGCCATGGACGCCCTTGCCCCGATCTGGCCCGGCCTGGCAGGCCTAAGCCACCTCTCCATTGTCCCCACCGCTGGCTTTGCCACTGCCTCCTCCCGAACCCCTTCTATGCTCGGAGAAGAAGAGAGGGAGAGCGCGGGAGCGGGAGATGCTTGAACCCTAACGTCGGCAAGGTCTCCATCTCCATCCTTGCCGCTGTCTTCTTCCTCTCCCAAGAGAGAAGAGCAAAGTGCAAGCGTGTCGGTGTTGGTAAACAAAATTGTAGTCGCTTGCGTTTGAGTATATCTGGAAAATAAACCCCAAATTGTCTCCTCATTTTTATTTGGAATGCATTTTGTTCGAATGTGGCAATATAATGAAATATATATTATTTTCATTTTCATAGCAGACATGAAAAACAAAGGTGACTCGCAAATAGCACTCCTATGATTATTCTAGGAATTTAGGCTTACATATGACATGACAGGTACATATACTCTATATGTAGTATTTATTAAAAAGATTTTTTTTTAAAAAAACTAATAACAAGATTTAAATTTTTCTATATACCAAAGAAAAACTAAAATTGAAGACCGCCAAAATAGGCCGCCTCCCCACCGAACCATCCAAAAATATCCCCCCGCCCGTGCGCAGTGGACGGAAGGGCGCTCGCCCGCCACGAGCCCTCCACGCGCTACCTCCGTCGCCTCCAAATCCCAGCCGTCCACGTGTCTCCAATCCGCGAGCCCCACGCGCCTATATCTATTCTTTTCCTCCCTCCCCCATCCTCCTCCTCCTTCACTCCCTTCCATCCACTTCCGCCACCGCCGCCCAGAATTCACGCGAACGCGCCCGCACACCTTCCTCCTCCAATCCTCCTCCTCCTTCAGTCCCAAACGATGCTTAGGGTTTCACCGTCCCCGGCCGCCGCCGCCGCCGCCGCTAACCAGCTCGCTGGTGCGGGCGTGACCCCGGCTCCCGTCAGGGTGGCGGCGCCGCGCGGCGTCGGCTCGCCTTCGGCTGCCGCCGCGTGCAGGGCCGCCGGGAAGGGAAGGAGGTGCTCAGCGGGGTGGTTTTCCAGCCGTTCGAGGAGATCAAGGGCGAGCTCGCCCTCGTGCCCCAGACGCCCGACAAGTCCCTCGCCAGACAGAAGTTCGTCGACGAGTGCGAGGCCGCCCTCAACGAACAGATCAAGTACTAAATACCTCACTGCTCTGCTCACTCCTCCTCCTCCTCCTCCTCCTGTCCTCCTTGCTTTTCGATTTCGGGCGAATATCTGGGCAATTGGTACATTATACGGCTTAATATTAGATTATTAGTTTCAGCTGTCAATCATTGCAGCCGTGTCTGCAAATCTGCAATTTGACTTGAGTACAACCAAATGTTTCATCAATTTGACTCTGGAATCTCTGGTCGTGCAGTGTGGAGTACAATGCCTCGTATGCGTACCACTCCCTCTTCGCCTACTTCGACCGCGACAACGTGGCTCTCAAAGGATTTGCCAAGTGAGTCGCCTCCTCTCACCAAGTTCAGTTATCCATCTGTAAATAAATCACAGCATTGCCATTTTATCATTTCCTCTGTAATAATGATGTGGTTCTGCACATTTGTTCCTCCAGGTTCTTTAAGGAATCAAGCGACGAGGAGAGGGAGCATGCTGAGAAGCTCATGGAGTACCAGGTATCATTTGGTCCTCTAATTTCTTTGACTCTTTGGCAGCGGCGGAGGGTGGATAAAGAGCAAGGAGGGGCTGATTGGTAAAAACTATTGTGGTATTAGCTAACTGCAGAAACTACAACTGTTTTATAGGCTATTAACACTAGGATTATACACTACCAATAGTAGTGCTGTCACAGAAGAAGAAGGGGGCGGAGGCCCAGTTTCGCCTCCATGAGCCTCCGCCCTGCTCTTTGGTCCGTTCCATTGCACTATGCTACATATTGGGGTACTGACACAACACTGGATATGTTTTTTGTGCCATCAGAACAAACGTGGAGGCAGGGTGAGGCTCCAATCGATTGTGACGCCCTTGACCGAATTTGACCACCCTGAGAAAGGCGATGCTTTGTACTGTGAGTTGATGCGCATTTCCTTCTTGTTTGCCAAGTCTGACCTCTGGATTAGGATGGGGTCTGAATGTCAAGTGCCTCAGAGGAGTCTGCATGTGTGTGGTACAGCAGAGGAAGTAACAAAAGCCCACTGTTGTCAAAAAGTGGAATTTGTTCTGCAACTGAACCTAGTTGTATGAGTTGCAGCTTTCAGTATATGGATGGATGGATGGATGATAGATTGAAAGACTAGTAGTGATTAACAGTTTAACACGACTTATATAGAAATAGAAGGCTGGCTATTGTTAGTAAATGTTGATTGGGTATCAGCTAGGTTGGTCTTTTGTAGTTTTGTTCATGTTTGGCATATTTGGAAGCTAATCTGGTAGCTATGTTTTGATCTGTGCCTCTTGATTGATTTCAGCTATGGAGCTGGCTCTGGCTCTGGAAAAGCTGGTTAATGAGAAGCTGCACAACCTGCATGGTGTAAGTTGCTTTCAGTCACATGCTTATTTGTGGAGAAATATTGTGAGCTTTGCTTAAGACATACTTAAAACATTTATGGGCATATATAAATTGATTAACTTGAGTCACTACATGTTGTTTGTACAATTGTGCCACGTACAATTTCTAATGAGTTTTCACCTGTAATTAACAGGTGGCAACAAGGTGCAATGATCCTCAGCTGACAGACTTCATCGAGAGTGAGTTCCTCGAGGAGCAGGTAAATGCAACCAAAGCATATGTTCCATATGGAACAAAATTATGCAGAACCAAATTTGATTCAATTTTGTTTTTGCTCTACTTACGACGCAATTCTTAGCTGAACGAAAATTTTGTATTTTCTTTTGAAAGGTGGAAGCCATAAATAAGATCTCCAAGTATGTCGCCCAGCTGAGGAGAGTGGGCAAGGGGCACGGTTAGTCTGTCGCTGAACTTTGGTTTCATCTGCTATGTCTCGTGCCTAAAGTTACACCTAGTTGATATTGTTGAGGTGTGATTTGCGGGCAGGGGTGTGGCACTTTGATCAGATGCTGCTTGAGGAAGAGGCCTAAAGGACGGACGGACTGTGGCTGCTCAAGGACTAAGGGCCTGAAGGAAGGAAAGAAGTGTGAAATGATCAGGTTGGGGAATAATGGGCGGCATGGACCAGCTGAGGAAGCCCTGGGTGTAGGTGGATTGTGGAGTTTTTTTTTTCCCCCAGTTGGTTAGGGTTTTAGTTGTAGAAACGGTGTTGCCCTCCTACAGAGAACATGATGCACTGAAATGCAGTAGAGCATGTGATATTATTATTGCTGCCGTCAGTTTGGGGTGCTTATTGTGAGACGTTACCCTTTGGGATTTTGATTGTTTGAAATAAAACATGGCCATGAATGTGTGCTCTGATATTACCTTGCTGTGACTTTGCGAGCACCGAGGAGATGATCGTCGTTAGTATACTGTGTAAAGAGACGTGGAGGATTATTTCTTATTTGTAAATCTGAAGGTAATCCGTCAGAACTGGTGGCTATTTACTATCCAGGCAACAAGCTCTTTTGAAGGCCACTTGAAGCACCCAACCAGTTGTTCTGATGATTGTTGTTTGTGAATTGATGTGGTATGCCCTGTCTTCGGTCTGCTAAATTGTGCCATTCTTTCTCTTTTTTTCCAGTTCTTGATTTTTTTCTGAATCTAGTGGCTGCAATTGATAGATTAAAAAAAAAATCTTCCCTATAGTTCTGCTCTTGGGCACGTCCATTTCTACAGGTTCTGCAAGGAATCGGGTGATGAGGAGAGGAGCATGCTGAAAAGCTGAGGAAGTACCTAGTACTACATCATTGCCCCTAACCGCTGTGATCATTTGGTTACTGATGTTGTGTGGCATGTTCTTGTGCTCTAGAACAAACGTGGTGGGAAGGTGAGGATCCAGACATCCAAGTCCATTGCGACACCCTTGACAGAGTTTGATCACCCTGAGGAAGGCGATGCTTTGTACGCTGAGTAGCTTTGTGGTACCGGGACTTTTCTACGTGCTTTCTTGATAGTACTGTATGTAGTTGATGGCTGCTTCCGTACACGTACGTTTTGCTGTATGTTTCCGGGCTTCTGATGGGGCATCTGAAAAATAAACTGTGAGGAGGCTGCAGAAAGTTCGCTATTGTTGCAAAATTGAAATTTTCTGTTCCCTCCAAATAAGAATATTCTCTTCTCTATTAATAGTACATGCTTGGAAGGGAAAGAAAGAAGAATATTCAATAGAAAAATTGATAGTGTTTAGCATGCCTCATCATAGAGTAGAAGCTTGTTATTTTAGTAAATCTTTTGGGTGTCAGTTATGTGTCTAGTCTTCGCAGATCAGTACTAGCCTACTAGGAACCTAGATTGGCCTTCTGTTCATGTGTGATATATATCAGGAGTTTTTATTTAGCACGCACTAATATGGTAGCTCTGTTTCAATCTGCACCTCTTTTCTGATTGCTGCTATGGAGTTGGCTCTGGTTCTTGAAAAGCTGGTTAATAAGAAGCTAAGCTACACAACCTGCAGAGTGTAAGTTACCCTTAACAGCATTACGCGCTTACAGATAAATATTGTGTGCTTCAGGAGCACCCAAAACTGATTTAATTGAGCAAAAGTAGAAGCAATACATACAGCTTGTAACGAGTTTCCGTTCATAATTAACAGGTGGCAACAAAGGTGCAATGATCCTCAACTGACCGACTTCATCGAGATTGAGCTTCTTCAGGAGCAGATAAATCCACCAACTACATTAGTTTGTTCATGGTAGCAGAACCTGCATCATTTTTTTATTGAGACTTTGTAAAGAGATGCGGAGGATTGCTTCTTGTGATGTAAATCTGAAGCTACCTCGTCACAACTGGTGCCTACTTACTTTCCAGGCAACTCACAAGCTCTTTTGAAGACCACTTGAAGCATCCGTATCCAGTTGTGTTGATGTTGTCTGCAAATTCAAATATGCATGCTGGAATCGTTTGGGCTTTGGCGTTGGGCCGATGGACTTAAAAAGACAATGCAGGCCCCCTTTTTTCTTGTTGATGAGAAGAAGTAAAATTCAGTCCCGTTGTATGTATTACCTTAGTATGACTCCAAGTTGAAGACTAGTTTTGCGACCGTCGTTATGCAAACACTAGTTGGAGTACAAATTTTGGCTATTGCATTTCACTGCACGTAGCCCAGTCTTCCCCAGGCCCAACAAGAATAATTAGGCCCATGTGTCATGGTACAGTTGGCCCACTTTGCGAACCAGATTTTCCTTTTTTTGGCGCCTGCAAGGAAAGCACAAATTTCCAGATACTGCCAAGTGGGTCCATGGTCTATCTGTCAACCCCACCAGAAGCTACGCCTCTACCCACCGGGCTGCCTCCTCGGCAAACAAGAAGTCCAGCGACACAACGACCGCCAATCTCTCTCGCACTCGTCGTTCGTCCTCAAGACGCTAGGCCAGAGCCAGACCGGAGCTAAAGCAGAGCGGAGGTCTCATTGCCCGGGCATCGAATCCAGCTCCAAGTTAAGTTCTCTTCCCCTAAAGGCTCGTTCGGTTATCGGATTCCTGCCCAGGAATCATTCCTGTTTATCCACGGTTCTATAAATTAGACTATCATTCCTAGCCGGATTCATTCCAGTTCACTATTTCACAGCAACCGAACGGGGCCTAAATCTGGCCTGGGTCATCACTCACCTCTTCCCCTGCAATAAAAGTAGATAAGTTTGACTTAAAACAAAACTAAAATAAATTATAATTTAGGACGGAGAAAGTACAAAAGAAGGACAACTTAACCCAAAACGACATCTTAAAAAAAAAATAATTACGCCAAAGACTTTTCTAGTCGTCTTCTTGCTTGGATTGCTCGTCACTCGCCAGAGCTTATACGAATTGAAAGTTGTATCATTTTGACTTCAATTACTTTCTCTAGTAGCTTGCACATTCTTTCTTATGGTGACATGGATCTGCCCCATATTCCTTGGGGACAGATCTTGGGATTGCAGGGTCAGATTCGGAACATGAGTTCAACCACGATGGGTAGCGGTGGGCATAATTAACTAAAATCGAAGAACCAAACGGAAAGAACTGGAACCAAAACCGAAAGAATCGGAACCGAAAAAAATCGGTTCCCTATTTGGTTCGAGATATCATGGAACCGAAATAACCAAAGAAAGTTCGGTTTCTACTCTCAGATAACCGAATTAACCGAAACAACCAAAATACATGAATTGTGCTTCACTTACATGCATTTTGTACGATTATGTTTGGTTTATGTGTGATGTCTCATTTAAACTAATGTATTGGTCTTACTATATTGCTATTGTTCTCTTATCAATTATTATTATCTAAAATAGAGGTAGTGTTGCCCAAATTTTCTTTAGAACCTGCATATTTTTTTGTTGTCTTAACCTCTACTTAAAAGTTCAGTTAGTTCGGTTAGAACCAGAACCGAATCGAAAGCCCAAATGCTCGGTTCCTAGAATTTCTCAGAACCGATCGGTTCCTATTTTCTTGGAACCAAATTTCTTCAAATACCGAAGAATCGAACCGAAAACCGAATGCCCATCCCTAACGATGGGTGGTATGACTGAAGATGGCATTGCTTCACTTGGGAATGCCTATGGAGGAGACGTCAAGGTTGTGGAGGAGACCCGATGCCCTAGCTACCGCTACGTAGGATTTTCTTTTCTATTCGATTAGCCCATGAGGCTTGTATCAAATTCATATTTCCATATTATTTTAGGATGTAACATGTTATTATACATTGTTTATCGATATATGGATGTGATACTATGCTGAGATGAGCTCTGTACGTGATAGCTGTTAGTTCTGGGACTACCACAATGGTACAGAGAGTCGGGTTCTTGGTAAGAGAACCCGATTCATTTTAGTGCATGCGTCCATCCGAGAACTGATTTTCTTGGGATTTGGGACGTGAACTCCCTATAATTTGGTCGCCAACACATTGTCAACATATATTTTTGACTACTTGGTACCGAAGTTGTAGAGCTCGATGAAATATATGACTTTTGTAATTGATGACTTTTTCCATTGAGGTTGCTTAGAGTATACCAAATAAATACGCAACTCAAAGTTGAGAGGTGAATACAAAAGAATAATATCCCTTATCTAGTGAAGAAGTGATATGTATGTGTGATGGTAAGAAGGCTATGCATGGAGTAAGAAGTCTTAGGTTCGGATCCTAGGAAATGCATGAGTGCATCGCGTGTAGATGCCTCCTAAAAATGGCTCTTTATTCTGCCATCAAGGGCACCAAAGCATTTAGATATATTCCTAGCCCGACTGCAAGGAAGCGGAATGTACTATTCAAGCATATAAAGGGAATTAAGGCTGCCAAAGAAAAGCATAAAGGAATGGCAATACAACTGTCAATTAGCTAAGAATAAATTCATTTGTGATAACCCAATGCATAAACGCCTAGGCCGTTGAGAATAAATTCATCTGTGACAACCCAATGCTTAAATGTCTAGGCCACTGAGAATAAATTCATTTGTGATAAACCAACCTCCTGTCGGCCATGGCATGATAATATTATGTCCTCTTCCAATAGACCCGTAGATGGCCTCCGCGGAATGACTGGCAACCGGGAGGCGCGGCCATAGCGGCGCCTCATGGACCGACCGAGGCCTGAGCCATGGCCGGCAGACCTGACCCCGACGCGAGTCCTGTGGGCCGGAGCTGCAGCGGCGAGAGCCCCATGCGTCACACGGCACCACTTCCGCTGGCCCCGTGGCCGGTGACAGCCGCGGCGCGGACGCCGGCACTGCGCGGATCTAGGCTCGGGGCGTGTAGAGGCAGCTGGATCCGGTGGCAGCGCGTCACCTACCGGCGGCCGCCGGCCCCGTGACCAGTGGCCCCCACGGCGTGGACGCCGACACCGGGCGGATCCGGGGTCGGGGCGAACAGAGGCAGCCAGATCCGGGCCGGAAGGAGTTGAGGCAGCCAGATCCGTCGTCGATGTGGTCCCCGCTGCTTGTCGAGGGGAGCTTGGGGAGGGCGAGCGGGGAGGGGAAGAGAGGAAGCAGGAGAGGGAGAGGTAGCCGTGGAGCCTGCCTTTTTGAGCGCAGCGCCGCTGGCCACCACCGCCGCTCACCGGGGGAACAGCGGCAGCGGCCGAAAGGGCGCCTAGGAGAAGCCCTGGGAGGCGGCGGTGGAGCGCCCCTCCGAGTCACCGCGGGGGACGACGCTGGGGTCGGGGTCACGGGTCGCATAGTGTTCGTTCCTACTTTGTAGTTCCTACTTTGTACGTAATCAACGCGGACTATGAATCATTGGCTATATATGTACATGAGCACCATTTGTAACCGTTGGCTTTAGCAATATCCATCAATTTATTTTTTTCATCGGCTTTAGCTTTACACAGCAATTTTTTGGACTGTCAGGATTATTTAAGTATATGATATTTTACCTTTTTATTATACAATTGTGATGGTTGATTTGATTAGCGTAGGCAGTTGTGATGGCTAATTTGGTTGGCGTCGTTTGAAATATGTCATCAAAAGAAGGAATGATCAAATATTGCAGATATCTCATTCTTGAAGCATTTCGCAACTAGAGAAGTGATGAATATTTACAAAGTACTTCCTCCATGCCAAATTATAAGACGTTATACTTTTTTGACACAAAGTTTGACCACTCGTCTTATTTAAAAATTTATGCAAAATATCACTTCGTCTTTTGTCGTGGCTTGCTTTACTAATAAAAGTTCTTCAAGAATGACTTAAATTTGACTATGTTTGCACAAATTTTTTGAATAAGACGAGTGGTCAAACTTAGGGTCAAAAAAGTCAAACGTCTTATAATTTGGGATAAAGGAAGTACCAAATAACCTGCTTGTACATATGACCAATGTGCAAATGAAAATACATGTCAAAACTTCATCAGGCATAGATTGAATTGTCTGCTGTATAGAGGGAGAAGTGTATATACTTTTGTTCATCCCCAAGCAGGGTAAGCTCCGTAAGAGCTTAATGTTCATCTC